TAGTTGCGGGTATAGCAACGTGCAGTAAACTTGGACAAAATACTGTGACTATGTGTCCCAGTCCACCCAGCTGTGAATGGGTACCTCGTACGGATGGGAAAGCCGCAATAACTCGGTGCGCCTAGCGGCTGCAAGAGTTGTATACTCCCCAGGAGTTGAGATTGATAATAAGATGTCCCGTTGAGATTGACATCCAATGATCGAGGAAAAACTACCAGCGCCTTGAGCATGCTAGTGGGTGGATATGTGCGCTATATAAATATCCAATAATAATAATAATAATGTCTGAAAACTACGATAGAACCTCATGACTGGAAAGTTACCCCACTTGAAGATGCGGGTTAGATTTGATCTTCAGCAACTTATACCAGTCCAAACTAACGAGATCGAGGGGGGTGGGGTGTGAGTCCACGTCAGTCAAAGTATATTTTATGTACCACAGGCTTAAAAGTATAATGGTTGTTATTTTATTTATAAGCACGGTTTCAATCATGGTTTCATGCTAGTAGTAAACAGTCCTCATGGCCCATAGTGGGATGATCTACATATTACCTTCAGTTATTGGCGTTTTTGTTATTATGTTGTCTTGAATAGTGATATGAAAATGTTGCCGATGTGACTATAAATCGGAGAACTTGAAACTGACACCCGTGAAGATCCGGGTTAGAATTGGTCTTCAGCAACCCATGATTGTCGTAAGAGGCGACTAATGGGAACGGTCGATCTCTGACATGTCATCGTATCCCAGTTGCGTAGATTGATGATCATGACGTTGATCACTGGATTGTCTGGTCCAGACTTGGTTATTTACAGATCGCCGCCATATAGCTGGAATATTTCTGAGCGCAGTGTTAAACAACAAACAAACAAACAAACGATCGATCGATCGATTCCATTAAACAAATAGAACAGTTTCGGTTTCTTGTATAGAATGGGCCTAGTATGGTGATCTACCTTCAGTTGTTGGTGATCTATAGCCTATTTTTATATTGTGTTGTCCCCTATAGTTAAAATGTTTTAGATTCAATTACTAGTTTTACATGTATATCTGTGATACTCTAGTTGCTTTACTGTCCTTTGTCGGCAGGTTTTTATACTATCTATATATATTCTATTTCAATGTCAAGTGTTCCCGTCACGATATGGCTGAAATATTGCCGATGTGACGTTAAATAATAACTCACTCACTCACTCACTGAATAGAATGGAAATAAACTGTCACAAAATCGCAGGAATTGAATATGTTGCAATAGTATACAATGGGAAAGCTTTTAAAGAGTCAAATGAGTTAATATGCATGGATGTAAATCTTCATAAATCCAAATCGTTGGTATTCAATAACCGATGCCTGTCGTTAGAGGCGAGTGACGGGATCGAGTTGCCAGGCTCGCTGACTTGGTTGACACATGTCATCCTATCCCAATTGCGTAGATGGGTGCCATGCGGATGATCACTGGATTGTCTGATCCAGACACGATTATTTAAGACCGCCGCCATGTTGCGGGGATATAGATGAGTGCGACATAAACAACCAACCAAACCAATGCTTTTAGGTAGAAATGCATCCGTAAAATATTGGAAAATTACAACCCAATCAAATAGATTAGCGGTTATTTTCATTATTGCTTCAATGTTCCGGATGTTTGAGGAAAGCAACGAAGACAGAAAGCCGCGAGCTATAAAGGAATCAAAAGAGTGTATTTGGTGATTGTTTCGTGCAGTCCTCCTTGCCATTTAATTAGTAAGAGGGGAGCATATTAATCAGGTTAATCAAAATGGGTAAAGCTTGAAACGATCAAGAACTAGAATAGTAGATGGATGATTAACCGATTAGTGGTGTGGTGGAGTTTTAACGAATCAAAACGGTGTTTGGAGATATGTGATGAAAGTCAGGGCCACAACACGTATTGATCACATTCCATGACTCCTTTTTAGTTTCTACAGATTTCCATGGGATGACGAGCTTGTCTATTTCTGATAACAGAAACAAACCTGGTACATCCAGGGAGTGAGTGAGTGAGTGAGTTAATACTTAACGTCACATCGGCAATGTTTCAGCCATATCGTGACGAGAACAAATTTGACGTTAATAAAGAATGTGTATATTATAAAACCTGTCGTCAAAGGACAGTAAAACAACTAGACTGACACAGTTCGAATGTAAAACTAGCATGTGAAGTCAAAACTAATAACACTGTTTTGACAATAAATATTATAAAAATAGGCTATAGATCGCCAACAACTGAAGGTAGATCACCATACTAGGGACCATGGGGACTAAAAGTACATTTGCTTCCTGCATGGACCCTATTTGGATTTCAGCATCCCTTCACCCGCTGGCGATATTACTGAGTTTAACCATTATTTAAAATAATTAAAGGTTTGGTAGAGCTAAATATACTTCGAATGTTTCGGGACTTCCAGGGAACTTCACTATATTCGTTCTCTAAAGAAGAATGTGTTTATACTTCAATTTCTAACCAGTACCTAAATATATCACAAACGCCCTTGCATTGTGTTCTTTTGGATCACTTTTAGATGGAACTTGTTATAATTTTCATTACCTCACTGACGTATTCAAACATAGAACAAACACTAGAATGATCTGTGTTTAACTGAATTAAACAGTCATGATAATGACTGATACTTAATGCTAGTATGTTTTTGTTTGTTTGTTGCTTAACGCCTCACTCAGCAATATTACAGTTATATGATGAGTCTGGACCAGACCATCATACAACTGGCATATTACTCAGGGCGGCGTTAAACAACAAACAAACAAATCATACGAGAGGAAAGCTTGAAGTGATGCCTGCCTTACGTTTACCACTTTTGTGAGCTGCACTTTCACGGGTATTGAACTGAGTGGGTGAGTGGGGAATTGAACCCGGGTCTTCGTCGTGACGAGCGAACGCTTTAACCACTAGGCTAAACCACCGTCCTTGCGATGTAATGAATTTGGATCGGGATTTAATCCAATATCCTTGCTCTCAGGATACTAATTATATTAACAATCATAAATCAGTTATCAATAAATTAATATGCTCGCAGAAACGTTTGAATATTTTGTTGTTGTTTTCTTTAGATTTGTGACTGGACTTTCATAGTAAATGGCCAGCGAAAATGTGCTAGAAAAATATTAATACTTCAGACTTTTGAAAATTAGGAAACTCTCTACCACAAACATGCCATTGTCGAAAGACGTTTTTGTTAAAAAAGGTAATTGTAGGTGAAAAATACACACACAATTGACGTTGTTTAACAGCTGGTCCGCCTGTTCATAAGTTAGGGAGTGAAGTTTATCAATACGTTTATATTCGTTTCTGGCTGTTTGTTTTTTTATAGAAAATGACATTCAAACAAAACAAATGGTTTGACATGGACTTCCATAAAAGCACTCTTATTCGATCCTCGCAAAACCCGTTTCTAAATAAAGCATTATGTCATGCGAATGGCACACTCGATAACTCACTGCTGGAAGGTAATGCCACACATCAGCATCAATGTAACATATAGCTAGATATTTCTCCATCTACACATGGGAGCTAAATAATGGCGGATGCAGAGTCTCCCAGAGACGAAACCAACGTCGATGATGGAAGGAGTCCGCTGCGACAATTCCCCGACCACGTCAACGGCGCTGACCATTACGCCCACGACGAGATCACCGACGTCGTGTAACCAAGTTCCATGTAAATATGTGAGGTCTGGAATGGGATAAGCCAAGATTGAGCACCCTCTCTCTATTCATAAGAATGCAAAAACGGCAGCACGAAAATGAGCCATGGTTACAGTGAGTCAGGGTGGCACAACTTGATGATGGGGCACTGTGAAGGGTTGTGTCCCGTATACGCTGCTCACACAACCCAAAATACGATCATCGTGGGTTCGAATCCCAGATCGTTTTGTTAATGGTTATCTCCATATTCGAGGAAATTACAAGCGTGGTAAACGTCTAGGTCAACCACAAACTATAAAACTATAAAGCTTGCAAAGATTGTTCAGCATTTCAGCTATAGCACAGTGGGTCAGCCTTATGTTGCAAAACGCCGAAAGTGCGAGTTTATATAGTTTAGCGAGGCCAGGTTATGATGTTACACCGTGGAAAATAATTCAAGCGAATTTAGGATTCGAATCTATGGTGCAAGAGTATGCACCAACGATTGCACTCTTGAGACAACAATCCTAAACAAACTGTCACTTTTAGATTATTGTACCTTCAATTCATAGCGATGTGCTTAATGAGTGAGTGATTTTAGTTTGCCGCACTCAGCAATATTCCAGCTATATGGCGGCGGTCTGTAATTAATCGAGTCTGGACCAGACAACCCGGTGATCAACAGCATATGCATCGATCTGCGCATTAGGGAACCGATGACATGTGTCAACCAAGTCAGCGAGCCTGACCACCCGATCTCGTTAGTCGCCTCTTACGAAAAGCATGGGTTACAGAAGATCAATATTCTACCCCGGACCATCACGGATGCGATGTGCTTGGAATATAATTTCTCTCATGTAGTATCATTAAGTATCTTACAATATAACCACATGGTATCATTGAGACAGTCAAAACATACATGTCGGTGTTTTAATTAACATATTGATACCATTGGGATTTAAAAGAAACATCACGATTGCCAGAATTACGCCATCATCAGATTGACACATCTCAACCATACAACGCTGCCCTGAAACCCGTGAATATTCCAGTAGTCCCCACAGCCAGGAAACAGATGTGCCATCTCGCTACCGCCTCTGCAAAGCCGTCCCCGACTCCGTGGCTGTTAACTGACAGCGACTGTCAATGTGAGTCAGGACGAATCAAACATCACCAAGTAGCCACAGTATGGTTGTATGTCGAGTGAATAGGTTAATCTCTCACTTGCCAGTTAGAAACGACACGCCTTCACCTCACGACCAATCAGATTTCTCATCGATCCGCGTTAGACTGAAGCCCACCACGGTTTGTCCCAGAAGGGAAGGAGACAGCGTGGCAGTAAGGCTGCTGATGGTGGTGGTGGTGACTGCAGTGACGGCCGTGTATGACAACACCTATGGAAACGTTGCATCTCTGATTTGACAATGATCGCACTTGTGGAAACGTTGAAACTCTGATTTTACAATGATGTGAAGTACATCTGTAGAAGAACGGTTGACAACTCAGGCGTGAGAGCCAAAACGTTGCCACGTGTGTTCTGCAAGGCAAGAAATTTGTGTGCTTTTGTGACACTTGGTTTTAACGTGGATGTTCCGGAAAGGTGTGTCTTGGAAACGCCGTGCAAACACTAAATGCTAATTGTATCGGATAAAAGGATATGAGTACCAGCATGTAAGTTTTTCTGCCACTCAGAATCTTGACATTGCTAAGTTTACTTATGGGTATGAAATTGATGCATATCTTATTTGAGGCTCGTAGTAAAAGTTTATGTTTTTCGTCACCTTGCTCACATAGACGTCGTTTCGTGGTTTTCATTGATGTTGTCAATCTATGATAAACAAACATTATTTATTTAAATGATGTCCTTTTCTTACACGTGTAATAGCCATTCGTGAATGTACAGTGTGTTTGATGGGTAGATAGCATTCAATATATACTGTTCTGACAATTACGAGCAATTATTGTCAATGAGCTAAAGTTAACTTTTAAAACCAATACCAACCATCTGTGAAACCCTAAATAACCACTGAAGCAGGTAGCCACAGACGCTGTGATTGATTTGACGATCAGTGGCACTGGTTCCATTAGCAATGGCTTACAATATGACGGACCTCTTCGACAACATGACTGGATACGGAGGAAGTGAACCACCATCCTATGTCTTCGTTCGGCGGCTACAGACAGTGATGTTCCCAATAATCTGTATTGCTGGAACGGTTGGCAATAGTCTTGCCGTCGGTGCTTTCTTCAGTAAATCCTTGCGGAACACTTCCTGTTGTCTATACCTGGGCGTTAAATCATTATCCGACATCGGATTTCTCATCAGTGTGTTCATCATATTCCTGTTTCGTGTCCGAGTTGGGATCATGAGTATACAGGGAATCTGCCAGATAACAATATTTTTGTCCTACGTGTGTCCTTTCCTTTCCATTTGGCTCGTGGTGATAATAACGTTCGAGAACTTCATCCGTATATCCCAACCTGCTCTGGTACCAAGTATCTGTACAACGAGGACGGCCCAAATGGTCATATTCATATACTTTACAGTGTCTGTTGCAGTGTATAATTTCCCTTTCTGGACAACGGGAGTTGACTATGGGATGTGCTCAGCTTTGCCTCAGTTCCAACAAATCTCCATCGTCTATACGTACGTTGACAGTCTCCTGACTCTTGTGTTACCGCTGGTGCTGATGATCATCCTAGTCCCCTTGGTGGCAGTCAGTGCCCTTCAGGCACACAAGAGGAAGATGAGACTCCAGGCTGGGAAGCAAAGGAAGGACAAGAAGGCTTCTCCCGAGGCACAAGTCACTCGTCTCCTGTTTGCTGTGTCTGTTGTGTTCATAGTTCTCCACACTCCAAGTCATTCCATACGGATCAAGGAACTTGTGATGCAGCTCATCTATAACGTTAGCCCGTCTTTCAATGACCTGATTGTGCATAGGATCTTTGAGCTGTTCTATTACCTAGATTACTGTGTAAGTCTAGCTGTGTATTTAATATTCGGTGGTAACTTTAGAAACGTGTTCAGGAAGAAGTACTTCTCAAGGTGCAATAGACAGGAGAAGGAGAAGGAACCTACAACGATGGAATCTCCGGTGTCACAGAGACTGATCAAATGACTGTATCATTTCCGTTTCTTCACTGCTAGTGACGGACCCAATAGACATTACTGTTGTGCTACTGTAATATAATCTGTGATTCAATGACAGTGCTGCATGTCAATGTGGCAATGTGAAATTCAAGGTTTGAATCTGTCCCCGGAAACATATGCTGGTCATATGACAGGACCAAAACGTATCGAGTGTTGGGCTCAGTTATTGGCTGATCGTTGCTCGCATATCGATCACTGGATTGTATGGTCCAGATTTCGATTATTTACAAGCCACCGTAATATAGCTGGAATATTGCTGAGAGCGGCGGTAGACAACAAACCAACAAAGCATGTACGTATTTCCTCTGGACAGGACAAGCATACGTTTTATAGCTGTGATATTTTATTGGGGGATTATGATTTGATGAATCGACAAGAACAAACTACTGATGTACATTATGCATTTTCGGGACGACATTAACAAAATGTTACTGTGACACCTTTCGCCTTTTAGATGGATTGGTTCTTCTTAATGGGAACACAAGTACGTTTACTGCTATAATTTACAATCTTTCCCCCGGTGTATATTAATGGGAAAGAACTTTGAAATATGTTGGCACACACGAAAATTGAACATCTAAACTTTTCTTCAACACTTGATATTGTACAGTATATGCCCGATGGACATATTTTTGCATGATGTTATATACATATTTATGCGATTATTCCACTTATATGTGTTGTTCAGTTGACATGTTTGATTTAATCAGGTTATCATTGGAGTGACAAGATTATATTTTTCACTCTTCTTTTGAACTATTGCTTCATTAATGTCTTTGTGTATTCTGTTACATGGTATTAAATATTTTTCTGCGCATGCGATTCGTATCGTTTCACTAAAAGAAGACAAGGTTACCAGGAAAACCCGTCAGATCGGACCAGCTTAGTTAGAGGCAGGATTTCACTTGGTCGGACTGACCAGGTTACGCTGTTTACAGGTTCTGGAAATCTGTTAAGCTGGTTGGAATCGTTTTTCATCCAGAAAGGATGACAAATTAGCATTTTATTTACCTGACGTAAATGGTGGTGTTGGTGTGTCGTTTTGTGAGGTCCTGTGCATAGAGTCCATGCCACAAGTCATTGAAGTTGGGCAACGTTGGTCACGGATAGTCCCTTGATGGGTGACCGTGTTTGGCAGCTTGACTCCTTAGATTTCTAGACTTCCTGAGACTTCCTGGTCCACGACACCTCAGAAAAGTAAGTTTGTTCAAAATTGCCTTTTCATCCAGCAGTGAATGGGTACCCCATGGGATAAGCCATGTGATTTTTAACCTTCAAGCGACTCACAGGTAGTCTAGGTTAGCCGGGGTAATAATGTCCATTATGTTGTATGCGCCCAGAGCATGCCCGTGCGGCGTGGACTTCATCGCCATGTGAGTGGCCTGATTATTATTATTATAATGACGTGCGTAGATCGATGCTCATAATATTAATCACCGGACTGTTCCAGACTCGAGGATTTTCAGACGACCGCCATATAGCTGCAATATTGCTGATGGGGGTGTTAACCAACAACCAGAATAATATGAGGCCAGATTTCGAAAGATGATCTTGAATGAACTGTGTCCTGTCTCAACGGACTTCAGGTATACTGAAGGAAATGGTACCGGTGTAAGAAAATAAGTCTTTTTGACGCCTGTCACAGAGCCAGTCGATCGAAAGGTGGGTTTTAACGAAGAATTATTTTGTGTATATATCCACTGACACACCTTTCTGAAACTCCCGTGAAGATACGGGTTAGAATTGGTCTTCAGTGCTTGTCGTAGGAGGCGTCTAACGGGATTGGGTGGTCAGGCTCGCTGACTTGGATGACACATGTCATCGTATCCAATTGTAGATATGTACTCGTGCTGTTGATTACTGGACTGTCTCGTTCAGACTCAATTATTTACAGACTGCCGTCATATAGCTGGAATATTGCAGAATGCGGCGTAAAACATCACACACACACACACACACACACACACCACCAAACAAAAACCCCAAACCCCACAACAAAACAGCAAAACTTTCGGAATCACTATTATTTTCCACAAATTCTAGCTCGCAGAAAAAGAGACCTGTTTTCTCGCGTATAGCAAGAAATGGCAGGGGGATGGATTGAATTGTCCCCAGGGAGCTGAAAACGAACTTATCATGACCTCTGATCCATTGTCTCAATAATGTAACTGTATTGTTGATCGTGAACAATTGTACAGATTAACTATTAATGAATTGTCCGTTTGTTTGTTGTCCTGGGTGTAGGGCTTCCGGATTGAGTGGACTCCATATGTGAATGATCCTTGATACGATAGTAAGCTGCCAAACTCCGGCATTCTGGTCAGTAATATTTAAATAAATATCGTTGATTTAATGAAAATCCGGATTGACGGATAGTTTGTAAATAGCAGTATTCCTTTTCTTTATGAAGACCGCCTCCGTGGTGTAGTGGTTAGAGCGTCCGCCCTGAGAGCGGAAGGTCGCGGGTTCAATCCCCGGCCGCGTCATACCAAAAGACGTTAAAATATGGTACTTCTTGGTCCCTGCTTCGCGCTCGGAAGTAATTGGTAAATCAAGGAGTCAGTATAATGTGTCTGCGTGGGGTGTTCATGCTTAACTGTGTCATGGTATCTCAAGTGAGCTTGCACTATAAAGCCAGCTTAAGTCTGGGCTAGTACAAGCAGCCACACAAACACACGCATGAGCGAAATATTCTTAAGTACGTCATTAAACCCCATTTCTCCTCACCTCACACTTCATGAAGATTTCCCAATAGTAATCGTCCGGAATTAGCGGTGTCCGGATCCACGAGGTTTGACTGTATGTGCGTTGAATATATTCCTGACGGAATTTAATGAAAAAATATATTGTTATATATTGCCTGAAAACAATCTTCAGACTTTTATGGAGGAAAAATGGTCTGCCAAAAATAAAATGACTGCCATGTGTTTTTAACAACAAAGATATTTAGACGTACTTTCAATCAAAACAATATAGGTTTTTACAGCTGTAGTTGAAAAGAAATCCAGTCTACGTGAACTTCTAAGCCAGACAGTTCGCGGGGACTGACTAGCAGGACATTGATCTGACGTTGATCGTTGCCCGAGATCCTCCAGTTGAAGGCTGTAACCAGAACCGGAGTGTTTCTCCAAATAGCCGCTTAGAACGAGAAATAGATATTCATTTAATAACATTTCGAGTTCAGTTCTCTTTTTCAACAACAACAAATGTATTTTCGTAGGAATAGAAACAGATACAGGATACAATTTGAAAAGAAAGCATACACACATACACACACACACACACACACACACACACACACACACACACACACACACATATATATGTGTGAGTATATATATATATATATTTGTTCCAAATGCATTGTGCTGAGTATACTGCTCACACTTTGCTAAGGATCACAAAAATTCCCAACTTTACTTAAACATAGATTTATTATTTGAAATTCTATCCATTTAAAACTAGATAAATAATGATATGGTATCCCCTCTTTGGGCAAACAGCCACTTTAATCTAACCTTATGCACTTGATACGTGTGTAACCATTAAAGTTTTTTTATGGCACCAATCAACCATTTGCAAATCATGGAACGAGTCACTGACAAGTACACAACACCTGTGCATAGCTGGTATGGGATCCACAAGATGCAGTGACATACTGAAACCTAGGATTCATGCTTACAATAAGCTTAGATATTTAAACCAAATTAGACCCCACATCACTGTTTTCTGTTGAATCAATGGTTTGATCTTTAGCAAAGTGTGTATAGTATATTTCCAAGATGACCCGAGTCAGGGAATCAGTGCATTTTCTGCTACATGAATGCTTTTGTTCTTACATGTACATACAAACATTTTCATCTGCAGAAGGCGGTGACTATTTTTTCAACAGAAATATGTCTAAAAATTTACTAAATTGATGATTTCAATTTAGCTGTCGCTGGGGAGAAAATGTGAATAACGAGACGTGCATTTTAAAACGTAACATGATGCCCGTGTTCACAATAGGCAAATTATGTGCATATACGGGAACTCACAATACACAAATGCTGAGTGCCTGAAACAGTATCTCGATGAACGCTCAAGATGGCGAATCGTTGGAAAGATTGTGGAGGATGGTGGAATGGGAGATTTTTAGGTTTGTGTGTGTGCGTGCGTGCGTGCGTGCGTGCGTGCGTGCGCGTGTCCGTCCGTCCGTGCGTATTTGCGTGTATGTGTGAGTTGGGGTGCTATCCCATGGCCATTTAGGGTGAGTCAAGACTTATATATTTCGACTGTGAGAGAAATAAAGTGAAAAAGCTCGAGGTTCCTGCGCAGGGGTGTGGTAGCCCAAAAAGTGTACAACATCGTATCGTAACATTACTTGCACTACACGTTAGATTCAAATCTGACCATGTTATCAGCAGAGAATGCCGTTGCAGAAGAGAAGCGCGAGTTCCATCACCATCACCAAGAGCCTGCGAAAACGCACGGCGTCCTCTGAAGGGCGTCAAGACAAACAGCGCGGACAACAGTTGACTATGATCGGGATCGGGTGATAATCTCATGGTGTTAGGGGCATAGCGTCATGGTAGGCAAGCACACATGACAAGGGGACTGATTTAGTTATTGCGAATTGGAACCTGATTGACCATTGGTGTGTAGATGGCCTTCTCGACTTGACTCAGTCCCTTCACCAGCGTCATCGGCTGAAATTTTGAATTGCAAGAGGAGAATGCCAGAGAACGTTGTCAGCATGGGACGTCAACGTATTTGGTCATTCCACTGGTTCCCTATGACCCGTGACATGTCCCCAACAGAACATCTGAGCGATGATCGTAGGTGGTATGCGTACACCAGGCTAGCTATCCTCCAAACATTCGTAGCCCTACGAACTGCTTCAGCCCATTCTTAACACCTTGGCTACGATCAAAGTTAAAATTATTAGGGCTACGAACGTTTCGAGAATAAGGGCCCTGAGAGTAAAAGTAGTCCAACGTGGCTTAGCCTGTGTTAGCTCTTCAGCTGGAATGACGGGCAACACCAACGACAACCATGAGCATGTTATTGACCAGTTCCATCAAGGTGTCCTGCATATGTCGTGTCGCCAATTACGATGGACACGTCATGTCCTGAGCTACACGCCCGGAATTCATTTCTCCGATATCTGTCGTCATTACACCTTCATATCTTCGTTGTGAATTAATAAGCTGTATTTCAGCATAGTGTGCGTGCATGCGTGCGCGCGTGTGTGTGTGATAGGGAAACTAATAAGGCAACAGATAGAAAGTACAAGTCTTGTTATATTCTTATCCACGTTTCCTCGCATGATGTGCGCTGAACTGTGGGTGAAAATCAAGGAGTTAATAAGGGAACATGTGTTACATTATTCGTATCCATCAGTATATATAATGAGCTGTGGTGAAAGCATTCTCAGCGCTATTCTTGGTGATGAATCTCAATGGGGCCGGATCAGGTGGCAGTTATTCATATCGATCAGTCTTACATACACCAAATGTATACTGCTTTCAACTCAGAAACAATGGTTAATTGACAAAGTATTACTTGACAAAACAGGACATGCTTGCACTTTATCATCTTTGCTTTGGTTCGTTCTTTTTTCCATTCCCAACATTTAATTTTTGTTTGTTTGTTGTATAACGCCGCACTCAGCAATATTCCAGCAGTATGGCGGCGGTTCGTAAATAAACAAGCATCTATCTACGCAAATGGGATACGATGACATGTGTCAACCAGTAACAGTTTCTAATACATACAGTCCTGAATATGATACGTCTTGGGATAGGATGACATGTGTCAATCGGGACAGCGAGTCAAAACACCCGATCCTCTTACGACAAGCAAGGGTTGCTGAACACCAATTCTAAGCCGGATCTCCACAGGTATACTAACAACTAAAGATAGCCCATCCACACATGGCGATTGATATATGAGGATGGCCGACAAAGGCGATTCCAGACAGAGTTCTTTGGGAATTCAGGAATCCGTGGACCTTTCTTGCGGGAGCACAAGCTCCGTCGGTGTTCAACTTCACAATCGTTGAATTGTATCAAACGTGACCAATCTGTTTGCATTATCAACCGAAATACATCTCAATAGGGCGTAGAATGCGAAATAGTGGGTAAGCTGCCTGAATGGATATATAAAAACACCGGGTGTTCTCGAAAAGGGTAAGCATTTTCTGTTCTACTGGTAGCACCCGGAAGTGAAGACTTTATTTACTTCGGGGTGTCCTTCCACTTAAAGCTGAAACACCCCGATATTCTCAAAATATTGTTTAAAGAGACGTTAAACACAACTCAGTCAGCGATCCATTCCTGTTTCACATTAATGTCGGTGAACTACCACAATGCCTTGATTTATGGCCTTTCCGAAGAGTGCATCATCGAGTCGTGTAAAAGAGTCTTGTGTAGGGTTTCTCGGCACAGACATCAACCAATTTATCACTTGTCTCTAATATTGCTCTTGTAGAAATGTTTGAGAGTGCTAAAAGGCAAATGTGACATTTAGATGTAAAACGTCAAAGTCAGAAAATAATCAGCCTCAATTTTAAACAAAAGAAAATTATCCTTAGCGAAAAAGACGAAAAAAGGATAATTGAACGAATCGATCACTGAAAATCAATCATGACACAAAGTGCTCGCGGAAAAAAGAAACTTTTAAGGCATATCCTGCTGTTAACAACAGCCGTTGCCCACACAGTTTGGATGAAAACGTAAGCGATTGTTCCTTGCCCTAACGCCGCAAAGCATTGTTCCAGTCATACGACAGCCGCAGTAAGCAATCGATTCTTGACCAGACAATTCACCGACATGACAGCGCTTGTCATTTTTGTACGTTGTAAAGCTAAAAAGAACTATTGATTTGTATCAACGAAGGACTATGTTTGACTTGACCGAGAACATCGTGAGTTGAATGTTTTCACACATCGTGTTGTGACTGAATGAAAATGTCATGCTCTTTCTTGTTTTACCGATGGTTATATTCTCTCAAAAATCACATGAAAGATGGAAAACATTCCACAGACCACTTTGGCGAAACCCCTGAGCACGCGTTTGGTGCCGACAAACCTAGAAATTAGCTAGAAGGAACTGGGATTCGAACCCACGATAGTATTGTTTTTGTTTGCTCATTGGAAGCACGTTTACACAGTGCATTATTTACCTGTATAAGTGTGCCAGTCTCTATTATCCGACGAAACAGATTCCTTTGGGCGGAAAAGAGGGAAAATAGTTTATTCAGTCATGTATTAGAATCGAACTGCAGTGGAGTTTTTTCGTTTTGATTTAAGACACGTAATCTGAAACTGAGTGGACAGTTTTTCATACATGTGCTTGCCTGAATCGATCAAGTTTGATTGGAAGGAGTTCTGAGTGAACTCACTATCCATCACTTCATGCTTTATCAAAAGGATTCAAATCACACAACATCCCATTTTGATGACAGAGTTAACGCATACATAATCACTAAAACAATCCTACGAACAAGCCATATCACATCAAAGGAATATTGCCGGACACAAACAGGTCTGCTTCGGTGGAGTGTCAGCTCAAGACAGGCTAACTGTTCCTATTCTCATGTCTATGCACAACAATCCATATCAATGATTTTGTTATAGGGTTGAGCGTCACGGTAACGTAATGGGCGTCAATTCGCGGGACAGAGTTGCGTGTCATGGGCCCTTGTTGTCGTGGGTTCGAATCCCTGTTTGCCCCAAGTGGACAGGTGGACTCTCATTCCACATTAAGCTAACGTGTGGGGATCTCACTTAAAGCGCCTTTAAACCAAACTTACTCACATTGTCTCAGCAAAATATGACATTATACCTAGAAAACATAGCAGCTATACCAAATTATGCCAGCGCAAACCATATGCTTAGATGAATGTACTATATGTATATATACAATCTATGAGAGGTGAATATTCATGTACATACGTTTCTCAGTTTCTCTTCATAAGATATAATGGTGTATGTGTGATTCACGCGTGTACATGCATAACCGTGGTTTCATCGATATGGCTCATACGACGAAACGACGTTATATGTTCACTCACTCATTTACTCACCCACTCTCAACTCACTCATTTACTGTGAGTTGAGTGGGTGAGTAAATGAGTGAGTTAAGCGAGTGAGTAAATGAGTGAGTGGGTGAGTAAATGATGAGTTAGTGGGTGAGTAAATGAGTGAGTTGAGTGGGTGAGTAAATGAGGGAGTTGAGTGGGTGAGTAAATGAGTGAGTTGAGTGGGTGAGTAAATGAGTGGGTAAGGAGTTGAGTGGAGTGAGTAAATGAGTGAGTTGAGCGGGTGAGTAAATGTGGGTGAGTAAATGAGGGTGAGTAAATGAGTGGGTAAGGAGTTGAGTGGGTGAGTAAATGAGTGAGTTGAGCGGGTAAGGAGTTGAGTGGGTGAGTAAATGAGTGAGTTGAGTGGATGAGTAAATGAGTGGGTAAGGAGTTGAGTGAGTGAGTAAATGAGTGAGTTGAGCGGGTAAGGAGTTGAGTGGGTGAGTAAATGAGTGAGTTGAGTGGGTAAGGAGTTGAGTGGGTGAGTAAATGAGTGCGTTGAGTGGGTAAGGAGTTGAGTGGGTGAGGAGTTGAGTGGGTAAGGAGTTGAGTGGGTGAGTAAATGAGTGAGTTGAGTGGGTAAGGAGTTGAGTAGGTAAGGAGTTGAGTGGGTGAGTAAATGAGTGAGTTGAGTGGGTAAGGAGTTGAGTTGGTGAGTAAATGAGTGAGTTGAGTGGGTAAGGAGTTGAGTGGGTGAGTAAATGAGTGAGTTGAGTGGGTAAGGAGTTGAGTGGGTGAGTAAATGAGTGAGTTGATTGGGCAAGTAAATGAGTGAGTTGAGAGTGGTCGAGTAAATGAGTGAGTTGAGTGGGTAAGGAGTTGAATGGGTAAGGAGTTGAGTGGGTAAGTAAATGAGTGAGTTGAGAGTGGGTGAGTAAATGAGTGAGTGAACATTTAACGCTCGTTTCTTTTTTTCTCTTTTTCTTTTCTCCTGCCACTGCATTGAAGGTCTAAGTGAGAATGTGATTGTGACCTGCTATCAACACAGTGTCGCACGGATAAAACCAAAAGCACAACAACATAAAAAGCAAACACATCGGATATTCTCCATAGCAATTACAGTATGCTTCGTTTGACGCCCTAATAATAGAATGTCTGAGACCTAGGTCCCCGATCCACAAAGCGTTCGTAAAGTTACAACTTGTCGTAACGCTATAGATTATCATAGGCTTACTAACGTCGTACAGTTACGAAGGCTTTGTGGATCGAGATCCTGGTTATTGGTTCATAGCCATACCCACACATTTGGGGGTGGTATGCTTAAATCCTTCTCGCAACACTCAATTACTCAGCCGCCCCTTGTACAACGATGTCACGTATAAAATCACATGCGGGTATGTTTGTTTTGGATCTTTGACTAAGGCTGAAAAATAACATGATGTCATAAACTTTGTTTCACGCATTAATGCCAGTTGGCAGACTCACAAAAGGTGTCTGACAAGACCAGGGACGCTCTCAAGACTAACCCGAAAGTCGATCTTCTCCACAAAGAGCATACACGTAATATCACAAGACTATCACAGGACCAGGGACACTGTCAAGACTAACCCGAAAGTCGACCTTCTTCCCGCCGAGCAGACACACTACCACAGGACCAGGGACGCTGTCAAGACAAACCCGAAAGTCGATCCTCTCCACAAAGAGCATACACACTATCACAAGACCAAGGACGCTCTCAAGACAAAACCGAAAGTCGATCTTCTCCACAAAGAGCATACACACTATCACAAGACCAGGGACGCTCTCAAGACTAACCCGAAAGTCGATCCTCTCCACAAAGAGCATACACACTATCACAAGACCAGGGACGCTCTCAAGACTAACCCGAAAGTCGATCTTCTCCACAAAGAGCATACACACTATCACAAGACCAGGGACGCTCTCAAGACTAACCCGAAAGTCGATCTTCTCCACAAGAGAGCATACACACTATCCCGACACAAGACCAGTCGAATCTTCCCGACGAGGACGCTCTCAAGACTAACCCGAAAGTCGATCCACAAAAGAGCATCTCCACAAAGAGCATACACACATATCACAAGACCAGGGACGCTCTCAAGACTCAAGACTAACCCGAAAGTCGATCTTCTCCACAAAGAGCATACACACTATCACAAGACCAGGGACGCTCTCAAGACTAACCCGAAAGTCGATCTTCTCCACAAAGAGCATACACACTATCACAAGACCAGGGACGCTCTCAAGACTAACCCGAAAGTCGATCTTCTCCACAAAGAGCATACACACTATCACAAGACCAGGGACGCTCTCAAGACTAACCCGAAAGTCGATCTTCTCCACAAAGAGCATACACACTATCACAAGATCAGGGAGTCTCAAGACAAGACCAGGGACGCTCTCAAGACTAACCCGAAAGTCGATCTTCTCCACAAAGAGCATACACACTATCACAAGATCAGGGACGCTCTCAAGACTAACCCGAAAGTCGAACTTCTTCCCGACGAGCAGACACACTATCACAAGATCAGGGACGCTCTCTAGACAAACCCGAAAGTCGACCTTCGCCTCTATGAGGCATGCACACTATCAACAAGACCAGGGACGCTCTCAAGACAAACCCGAAAGTCGAACTTCTTCCCGACGAGCAGACACACTATCACAAGATCAGGGACGCTCTCTAGACAAACCCGAAAGTCGACCTCCGCCTCTATGAGAGCTGAAAGGCACACAATCAACAAGACCAAGGAGGGAAACTTGGAAGTCCAACATAATCTCTCGAATACAAACATCTAACTATCCATATCATGCGTGCAAATATATACATCCCTTCCGAAGATTCCTCAACCCTACATCTTTGGCACATGTGCGATAATTGAAAACTTTAGAACTGACAAATAAAGATGAGGTGAAATTGGGTTTAACGTCGCGTTGGAGAATATTTCGCTCATATGACGACGTATATGCGTGTGTATGTATATGCGCGCTTGTACTAGCCCAGACTGAAGCTGGTTTTATAGTGCTAGCCCACTGAGATACCATGCCGCAGTGAAGCATGAATAACCCACTCAGACACATTATACTGACTCCGAGCCGACCAGTCCTTGTTATACCCATTAATGCCGAGCGCCAGGCAGGGACCAACAAGTACCATATTTTAACGTCGTTTGGTATGACGCGGTCGGGGATTGACAAATAAAGTAACTCTTCAAACAGTAACCATTCCTTGTACACTAATAATGGATTCTAACTTACAATATGAGAACACATTACCTGCCAATTCCTCTTATGGCCTGGACGTTAACATACAATATGAAAACAAACCACTCCCCTGTTACCCTGTAAGCTATATTCATTATACGGTCTTCTAAGACGACGCTTCTGCACTTATTACCCGAATGGCAATCTTAGAACAAATTAGGTCATGCATAAACATTAATAGAACAGCAATCCAATTTAAGATGCAATCAGCACCCAACCGCACCTAACCACGGAGAATCATCTCTGATTAATGAATATCGACAAGAGTACCTTCAGAGTAGCAATGAGTTAAGTCACAACTCGATCTTGTAGCTCACAAACAATAATCAATGACTTGTTTTCGTGCGTGTTGGTTGGCGACATACATAATTCACAACTCCTTCACATACTTCGTGTATTCTCGTGCTGCTATCAGTGTTTATGGCTCGTAACGGCATCCTGATTTATGTTTCTCTTTGACATGGCTGAAATCAAAACGGAAAACCTGTTGATTACAAAACAAAGCTTCAGCGACATGACCGCATGAAAATCGATAGGTGATTCTGCGATCCCGAAAATGTGGAACTGTGGCTTCGGCCGAAACGAGAAGAATGGATGATTAATATTAACAACAAAAGCAACACCAGCAACCACAGCAAACAAGACTTAACACCATCCCAGCAACCACAGCAAACAAGACTTAACACCATCCCAGCAACCACAGCAAACAAGCCTTAACACCATCCCAGCAACCACAGCAAACAAGACTTAACACCATCCCAGCAACCACAGCAAACAAGCCTTAACACCATCCCAGCAACCACAGCAAACAAGACTTAACACCATCCCAGCAACCACAGCAAACAAGACTTAACACCATCCCAGCAACCACAGCAAACAAGACTTAACACCATCCCAGCAACCACAGCAAACAAACAAGACTTAACACCATCCCAGCAACCACAGCAAACAAGACTTAACACCATCCCAGCAACCACAGCAAACAAGACTTAACACCATCCCAGCAACCACAGCAAACAAGACTTAACACCATCCCAGCAACCACAGCAAACAAGACTTAACACCATCCCAGCAACCACAGCAAACAAGCCTTAACACCATCCCAGCAACCACAGCAAACAAGCCTTAACACCATCCCAGCAACCACAGCAAACAAGACTTAACACCATCCAGCCCAGCAACCACAGCAAACAAGCAAACAAACTTAACACATCCCAGCAACCACAGCAAACAAGACTTAACACCATCCCAGCAACCACAGCAAACAAGACTTAACACCATCCCAGCAACCACAGCAAACAAGACTTAACACCATCCCAGCAACCACAGCAAAACAAGACTTAACACCATCCCAGCAACCACAGCAAACAAGACTTAACACCATCCCAGCAACCACAGCAAACAAGACTTAACACCATCCCAGCAACCACAGCAAACAAGACTTAACACCATCCCAGCAACCACAGCAAACAAGACTTAACACCATCCCAGCAACCACAGCAAACAAGCCTTAACACCATCCCAGCAACCACAGCAAACAATCCTTAACACCATCCCAGCAACCACAGCAAACAAGACTTAACACCATCCCAGCAACCACAGCAAACAAGACTTAACACCATCCCAGCAACCAACAGACGAACAGCAATAGTGGGATTGTTATCATATTCATCAATGTGACAAGATCCTGGGAAAAACAGGGCAATCGTAAAAAGGGTTACGCGTGCATCCGGAGTACCATGGCGTCCGACCCACCACCGTTCTCTGTATCTCGAGTTTGGTACCAACAAATCTGAGTACTGATATTTGGAGGAGACCTTGCTATGCGGCCAAGAAAACAGCCATTCTAACACTCTGTTTCATACAGAAGGCTTCATTGTTGGGTAGTCTTCATGTGCCACGAATGGTTCTTAATAGGTTCGAACAGGCAGCTCATGTGTGAGTGAGAAGGTTAACAATGTTGCCGCCATATCCTGACGAGAGAAACTTTTACAATGATGTAATTATATTCAATATATGAAATCCTGTCGTCTGAGGATAGTATGACAACTAGATTATCACATCCTTTTGAAAACTAACTTGACAGCATGCAAATGAGTAAACTGACAATTAAAAAAAGACAACAAAAAGACGAAAAACCGAGTCAGAGGTCACAAGCAGTAAACGTTTGAAACAAGGGACTATGGGGACTAATAATACTTCTGCTTCAGACTACATATGTACTGCAATTAAAAACTGTGGAAGACGTAGCCATTCTTGGAATGATGTGGGCTCACATACACTCTCAGGGGCAGCGTATCTGTGTTTTCCAGTGTTTTGTTACAGATGCCATATCGGGTATCAATTTCATTTGAAAACGTATCAAGTAAACAACGTAAGTGAAGAAAGAGACAATAGGGACAGATATGAAATGAAGTTGAAGTGTTAGAATCAATAACAACTTTACTTTTTTTCAAAATTCCTTTTTCGTTTAGGTGCACTTTAATCGCACTCAGTAATAAATTCAAAGAAAGTATACAGTATATTTGGCCAACCTTGAAAAGAAAACAATAGGATATATAAATGAGCATCTGTTTAAATTCAATAAAGTATTCAATTATACAGCAAATGTACACAATTTCATTTCATACAAAGTCGAAAGTACCGTTTGACTGACACTGACACGGGTTTGAAGTTCACTTCATGTTTTGGGAGACCCATGTGTAATCATCTGGATAATTAAGTAATGGGTTGGCAATATAGGTATCAAAGCGCAGAATAATATATATGTGATATTTGGAATCACAATTATAAGTAAAGTCCATACGCGTGAAGATCCGGGTTAAATTTGGTCTTCAGTAGCCCATGCTTGTCGAAAGAAGCGACTAACTTGATCGGCTGGTCAGTCTCGCTGACTTGGTTGACACAATGTCATGTCATCGTATCCTACTTGTGTAGATCAATGCTCTTGCTGTTGATAACTGGATTGTCTGGACCAGAGTTGATTATTTACAGACCGCCGCCATTTACTTGGAATATTGCTGAGTGTGGCG